TTTTTTCAAGAGTCCTTTTAAAATGGATTAGCTGAGATCATAATTTGTACTTTGGATTTACCTCTGGATTCAGTTATTCAGGTTGAAATTGCCTCATATACATATGTGTGTGCATATGCACATATATACACCACAAAAATCTGCTAACTGCCTGTTTCACATAATGTTCGATATATCAGGTGGGCCATTTGAAGGATTTGATATTGTTGAAGTGGGTAGTGCAAACACATATTTTAAGTTTTTGAGTGCAGTAGCAAAAAAGTGGCTTTGATTGCTTTATGTAATTCTACAATCAGTATTTTCCCAGTTTTCACTATCTCTTGGTATGTGAATCTTTCCTTTTAAGAGAGAACAGCATAGATGCAAATTAATATACGTTTTCATCAGTAAGATCTATAGATGTACGATTCAACAAATTCTGCTTAACTCAGTTTGATTTTGGAGAAAAAAAAAAACAAACATGAAAACGGGCAAGAGAATGTTGTTTCAAAACAATATGGTTTCAATGTTTCAACAGACAGATACAAGTAAATTGACTTGCCCTAGTGGTTGAAAAGACCTTTAACTGACCCATTTCAGTAACTTGGATGCCACAAAAGCCTTACCTGTGTCAGGGGTATGTAATGAATGGGTCAGAATTTAGGTTTGTACAGCACAGGAGTTTAACATGGGTTTATCTTTAGATTTTTGTTTGTTGCAGCAAGAAGAACCACCTGGCAAGTGATGCATACAAATCTTGACAAATATTCCAAGTGTAGTACTGTTAAAAATGCATAGCTTTGTTTTAACTCATGCTGTATAAACATAAAAGCAATGCCAAGGCTTTCTGCCTATATGAAGGTAAACTGACCCCACAGAAGCTGTTTGGGATTCATATATATAGTAATTTAGCCCTAAATGCTGTTGGAAAATGCTACTTCTCCCCCTCCTCTAGCTTCTGAGTGCCTATACAAATAATTTTTGAAAAAATTCTCTGCCATTTAAAACATGAGCAAGCCTAAAACCTTTAAAAATAACTTGTATTGCTCACAATGTCAGTGGCCTCTAATACAGAAAATGAGAGAACTGTCAGTACAAGGGAGATTTAAGAGGACAGACATTTTCTTGTAAGCTAGTAGAGGGACACCGAATACGTTTTCAGCCATTCTTGTCACTAGAAGAGCCAGGTACACATTGCAGGTGAATTTGATCTCAAGCCATACCTCCTTCTAAGGATCATTGGAAAGAATCCCCATGTGTCTCACTGCTGTTCTTTTTGTAGTCCTCAGCCCCTGCGCTCAGAAACTGTACAGTCTGTGCCAGCCTTGCTTCTGCTGAAACAGATTGTGTATGAACAGTTAAGTGCACTGATAGAGCAGGTACTGGAGATCTACTGGCGATCGATTGAAGAATTAACATCCAAAAGAAGCTTACTCTCCATGCATCGCAGGATGGAGGAAAACTTGACTTCTTGTCCACGTGTTTCAGTTTTGTATATGCCAGGGTTTCCAAAGTCTGTCTTGGCTGTTCAGCTACACACACGCAGTAGCTATTGAGTAGACCACAAGGAACCAGCCTATGGGGACAGGCAGAGGGAAACATCCAGATGGTTAATGGATGGTGAGACCCCTTATTCTTTCTTTTCAGAAGACCTATGCCAACCTTGCTTTCTGCAGCCCGTGCCTGGCAGTGTGAACAAGTAGCGGTACTTGGCTTGATACAAAATACTGTCTGCCTGCTCAGTTCTTTATTCAATCCTCTATTAAATTATGGTACAAACAGTGTTGTAAATATCACAGCTGTTTGTAGAGGCTTCCAGACAGCATCATCGCAGAAAGGATTATTGTCCTCTGTAGGAAATATAATTTTTTTTTGCCTTTTTTGAGGATTTTGTGATCAAAATTAAAACCTTCCAAAAGCAGCTTTGGCAATACAGGAAGAAATCACTTGAACAAAACTGGCTGGTCTCTAGTACTTTTACTGGTGAATTCGGTCACTTGGGGCTTGTTTGCTTTGCTTGGTTTGGGATTTTTTTCACATATATTCTCCTTCAGAACCATAGTACGGAGTTCGAAGACAACGTTAATAAATTTATTATAGCAGGGTTTTTTTCAGTTCTAAATAGATAAAAATGCATGGAAAATAATACTTTTATTTGTGCAGTAGGCTTTTGACAACCTTTTTTGACTAAATAATGTGTTACTAGGTACAATGTAAGCACAGAATGAAGAAGTAGTAGCACTTCTTATTAAATGGACTTTATAACTTAGAAATTTTAAAGTGGAATTCTACTGAATATGTAACCGTTAGTTTATGGGGCCATTTTAACCCCTTAATTAATGTCATTGGCAGTCTGTAGCTTCACCACAGAAAGGAAATCAATTCATTTTGAGGTGGTGGAGGAGTGATAACGCTTTGAAAACATGATAATACCATGATTACAGAAGGGAAGATACTGCAACAAATCTGTAGGCTTAGAGGAAAGAATCTTAATCAACACCTGCTGGCCAAACTCAATCTCAATGCAAAGCACCTTCCGAGGTATAACACTGTCAACTTTCCAGAAAGAACTCAGGGATAGATTGATTGGCATTGCTAGTGAAATGCTGCATTACTTCAGCATTACAGGTATATGACATACAATATATGTTTCAGTAATTCCTATACACTTTGGACATTGGTCAAAGTACTTTAGATTTAAGAGCTTTGCTGAATACCTCTGTGATTTCTCATGTGTTAAAAATTAAGCATATTGAAAGAGTTTTGAAGAATCAGGGCATAATTTTCCTTAATACTACAATTGATTTCTAAGGGACTAGTTAGGGAGAAAAATTTACTCATCTTGAGTAAAGGGTGGCAGAACTCTGCCTAATAAATAGAATTTTTGAAGAGACACTATTTTTTTATAGACTGTTCCCTTGACGATCTAAGATTGTTCCTTCTAATGTTGAATGCTCTATTTTTTAGCACTGTGTTTAATTTAGTTGTAAATGACTCAAAGTGCAGTGCTTCTACACTTCCCCAGTCTATATCATAAATCTGAATGTGTATGTGTTTGCTTGGTATTGCTCGATAAAACAAATAACAGCAGATCTGGAAAAGACATCAGAAAGCTACTCATTCTTAATTCCTGTGAAGGATTGCTTATTTCACTGTTATGTTTAAGTACGTAATGATTTTTGCCCAAAGAATCTGACATAGGTTGAATTTGATTAATGAATACCATTATTTACTGATGGCTTGAAGGATTTATCTTTATTTAAATATTTTTTTTCCAGAATGGGTACTTTTAAAATTAGATTAAGCACTTCTGTATAATATCTATTTCAACTCCTAGACAAATCACCCTTTTATTCAATTAAAATTACTATTCCAAGCTTTACCAAGTAATTTCCCAGAAATATAGTATAGACCTATTCAACTGGCCACAGCAATCAACTTCTTCAAGAAAATCAGATGAAGAGAAAAGAAAGAAAACATCTATGTGTTGACAATAATATGAACCCAAAAATGAGCGGGCACATTATTGTAAGATGAATCCTTAGATGTTCTTAAATTTTGGTTTTCTAATGAGTACCACTGGGTATTGGTCAAACTTGTCATGTCTTAATTGTTGGTATCATGAGAACGGAGTTACTCTTCCTATTTTTATTTTGCTTTTTTCATGAATTTACAGTTCAGCAGTCTAAGCTTAGAAGGAAAACAAATATAAATTCATTTTGCCAAGTGATTCTAAAACTCATTTTAATTAGTCCCTTACACTCCACAGTTAACCTTGATTGCATTTCATATTTTAGACTTTTCTGTTTTGTATAATGATGAATACTCCCTACTAATAATGTTAGTAAAGCAGAAGAATAAATTGATACATTTTTCTACATTAGCAGTGCAGTTTGTTTTTCCAAGCTCCTTTGATCAAAAAGTCTTGATATGTCAATTTTGCTAAATTTTGCCATCTACCTGTATGTGTAACTGATTACATTTCTTGATTTAAGGATTAAGAAGTCAATGAAAAAGTTATCTGAGCTGGAAGACAAAGTCAATCTTAGCAAAATGTTAATCCGTAGATTTCATTACATCTGAATCTGCTTACTGTATCTGACTATTAATATTTAATGCTCGATGTATAACAGATTATGAAATTTAAACAAAAACTATATTGGTTTATATAAATACATAGATTTTAGAGCTCCTGTAGATAGAAAATAGCTTCACGGAGACAAATTAATTCCCAGGTAGGGAAATCTTTTTCCCCACTTATCTCCTACCTGAATCCTTAATCTAGGATGTTTTAATATCTTACGGAGCTTTGCATTTGCAAATTCCGCCCTTGGAGAGCACATTAAAATCGCTACTCCTGCTTACTTTGAAAACAATACAAGTTTTGGTCTTAGTTTTGAGAGTAACTGTATTAAGCCCATACTAATAGGTCAGTTTGTGTGTTATTTCTGAAGATTTTTGCTCTTTATACGTGAGTCTTAAGGTAAAAATCCTGATGTAAGAGCTAGAGTCTCCTTCATAACAGGTAGACTCTGCAAGCGGTCCTTGGCCAATACTGGGCGGTTCAAGACAGTTGTGCGGTGTGAGTCATGGCAGGAGAATTGTTTTTAGACTCCTTCAGTGATCAGATCTCCCCTCTAGCATCACACAGAAACACTGGACACAGCTGGTGCAGACAGTGGTGTTGGGTTCGCACATCAAAAGTCTTACGAGCTGAAATGAACCAAGGTTCTCATGGGTGATTGGCACGTGAGCCCTGTGGGGAAAATATCTGCTCCTCCAACCAAATGGGATTACCATAGAGCTCAACATGTATTCCATAAAATGGAACTTGGGCAAAGTTTATGGTTTGTTACTTTGTATGTAGTTCGCATCTTTTCTTTCAGTATTATTTAACATGTCCACCTCCATTCTCTTTTTTTCATTCTCAGGAGAATCCAATTTGCTTATCAACTTCTCTCTCTCTCTCTCTCTTTTTCTCTTTTCTCTTTTTTCCCCTCCTCTCTTTCCCTTTCATCCAGATGGAATGCCATTTGCTTGGTGGGTTGGCCGTGCCAATGAAAAGCATCTTTACTGGGGAGGATCTCTTCCGGGCATTCAACAGTGTGCATGTGGACTGGAAGAAAGTTGTCTGGATATGAGATATTTTTGCAACTGTGACGCAGATAGAGAAGAATGGTAATAATTTTAACGTGTATAGTAGTGTCTGTGTGAGAGCTGGGGATGAGAAGTAGGGCAAAAAGACTTAACTCTTTTCCTGATTCACAGCTGAAGAAGCTTGAATGGCTTGAGTATGATCAAATGAGAATGAAAGTCAAACTAGAATTTGAACTTCTGATTTCATCTTAAATTTTTTCTTTAAAGCAGAGAAAAGATATCTGGCTGAAGCAGGTTGCTGGGATGGGTTGTCTTCAAAAAATCTTTGTTGTTGAATGCCAAATCCAGTTGTTTTATTTGTTTAAAAGTTTCCATTGATTTAATTGGAGCATTGCATGAATAAAGGCTGTAGGAGGTTGGTGCATGGGTATACATCAGAGCAGAAAATTCAGGCATAGGCACAAAATTTAGGTACAGATAGCTAAAGAACAAGAAGGCTATACTATTAAAAAGACTTGTATTTTTCTTATGAAACAGTATATACTGTATGTGACTTAACTTCCTTTTACATTGGGTCCCAAGCTTTTTAAAGTAAGTGGAGAGACTTTGGCTTCTGTAGGTTTTGGTTCAGTCTCCATAGGAAGTTCTAAACTTACAGCATGAACATTCAAAGCCTTCCTCAGGTTCAGATCTTTGTTGTGCCTTGATGCTTCATGAATTTGTGAAGGCCACCTCACAACCTTCTCCCATTCTCTACACCTTCAGAGACTCTCCAGCAGCTGAGAGCTGGTTGGTGAACCTTCCAATTAATTCCATACTTGTGTTGGAGGGGACAGAAATGCCAGATGAGTGTTTTTGAATGTACAATTTGAAACACTGTGAAAATACATGTGAAAAGTCTGTTTCACCCTCTCTCCTTTCTGGACCACTCACTGATGGGAGCTGCTGCCCTTTCTCTAAAAAAAAAGTTATTTTTACTTCTAGTAGTTCAGAAATTATGGATAATGGAAGTAGACAAGAAATGTCTTGCTGTAATAGGCTACTGTGTTTGAAATAGTGTCCGAATTATCCCTGTGAAACCTTCACTTAGAATGAATAGAAAGGAACTGTGAGGGGTCTTGAAACAAACAAACAAAAATATCAGAAATTACTTGTCACTGTAAGTCTTTGGCTTTTCTGGATGCTTGATTTCCAGACAGTGTGATTATTCCCTTGGACCCTTTATATCCCTGGGGTCACTATTCACTTTCAAAAATCATAGCTGTAAGGGGATTTCTTCAGGAAGATCTTAATGTAAATGTTGATTTATGAAGGTGATTTGTATAGAAAGGCCTGGCTGTGCATATTAATTTATCTTTTCTTTAATGTTTGGTTAACAGAAGCACTTTGGTGAGGTTTATACATGAGCATCAAAAGCATTTGTTTTTACTGGTTCATAATCCTCATTTCACTTTTCGGTGAGCTGCTACTCAAGCAGAGCAGGCTGTGTTACGCTGGCAGACCTTTGGGGTTGTAGTCTGAGACTGCGGGACAGTGCACCACTAGATTGTACAATCCAATGTCAGGTGAAAGCTAAATGCAGTTTTATAATGTTTCAACTGAGTCTCCGAAGGAAATGAGACCTAAGCGAGTGGGTGTTTATCTCCATTTCCCCCACACACCCAATGATTTTGAACAAGCAGACACATTTCAAACATCTTTAACAGAGAAAGAGAAATCTCAAATGTATTAGGAATTACAGATTCTATGATAAATTATGCCAGGCTGAGGGGAAAAAGCCAATTAAAACCCACAAGAAGGAAGTTAAGGAAGCTTAGACTTTTATTAGATTTTGGAAAACCCTCACGGGAGAGAGATGTTGGAAATCATGCTTCATTAGCTTGGCAGCTCACAGAGCTACTTGTTTCTCCTAATTTCATTATAGTAGCAGGATATGCATAGAAGTTTCCTCAGCTAAACTGCCTATTGTTTGTTGGTTTGGGGGTTCGGGTGTTTTGTTTTGGTTTTTAATCCATTTGAAATTTGGACTTTGGTGGTATTCTAAATTGCAGGTTGCCTTTCTAAAAGCTAAAAAGCCTGTGACCTTTACAAAGAGTTTCTAAACATAAGAAATTTCATGCCTTTTTAAGATTACTTTTGTGTTTCTCTGCCAGAACACTGACCCCCTGATATATAATGAGCATTTGAATCTGAAACCTGCTGAGATCTGAACTGTGACTTTAACCTGCTATACATTATGCTGGAAGGAGCAAGACAGCAGTAGATGCATTTATTTGCCTTAGCATGAAATAAAATGGGTGCTGCAGAGTGGAAAACCAGAAAATCATTTTTGTTCCTTTTAGATAAATCAGGCTGCTCACTGCAGCTCTGAGGTGGGAACTCACCAGAATAGCTGGAGCGTCGTTCTGAAGAGGAGGCAGGCTTAGGATTTTGCTTTGATTTGGTTTCCCTAAGCTAAGTCTTGGGTGCAGAAGATGCTGCTATTTTCTTAGAGCAGCAAAAAAAAAAGGGAAAACAACAGAAAACAGACCTGAAAAAAGTCCTGACCCAGGTGTTTGGCAGAACACAATATACTCTTCTAGGCGTGCTGACTTTTAAATGATATCTGAGCAGACACCTGAGCCAGCTACTGTCTCTGGGCTCTTACTTCGCATGACACCAAGTTAGTCTCCCTGGAATTATGCTGGCCAGATAAACAGGAATATAGTTAGCTGCATGCTACGTGGGGAAGTCTTTTGTATTTTTCACCTTTCCTTTTATTAAGGCATTCTAGTGAAAAGTATCTTTTTCCATCCAGCTACTTCCAAATTCTGCAGTATGATGACAGCTAATTCTGTCACTGCAGAATTGTGGCGCATTTTCATGGTATTTGCTGGAGAATGGGAAAAGACCTCTGCTGAGGGAGCAGAGGCACAAGTTGTCACTCTGACCCAAGCAAGGGATCTGGAAAGGTGTTAAACGTGACTTGACTGTAGTTTATGCATGCCTCCAAAGAAAGAGAGATTCCTGACTGTTGAAAGCTCTTGCTAGTGGGTGGGAACATCCATAGAAATCCAGTGGCTGCAAGCTGAAGCTAAATCTACTCCAGAAAATGTTTTCTTTCTCTCTCTCCCCCTTCCCCAACACTGAGAATAGTTAACTACTGGAACAAGTTATATATAGATGAGACAGATTTGCCGTAGCTTCCAGCACTTACCTTCAAAGCAATTACCTTTTGAAAGATATGCCCTGTTTCAAACAGAAGGTGCGTTCTTGATGCAGACTTTATTGGGGAAAAGTGTTAAACTGATCTAAAGAATAAAGCATTTCTGAAATGCAGACAGGGTTGTGTTATCTTCAGTCCATTCTAGAGATCCTTTGGATCCTCAAATACCTCTCCCAGGTTGTCTTTCATCTCAAGCAAAATTCTCTTGCCTTGGCAATAAAAGTCTTGCTGCTCAGCAATCCTTTCATTTTAAAAGGAGGAACCTCTTTTATGACATGGTGGCACATGACTGTCCTGAAGTCCATTTGCTACTTTGGTCTCTCTGTCTGGAATCCATTTTCTACTCCCAATGGACACACTTGCTTGAAGCCAGTCATCAACCAAACCTATTTCGTGCTGACTGCATTCACCTGGGCACCTTGTGAATTTTGAGAACTTTACAACTTTTTATTTTGTACAGAAAGAGCAGCATATCTGGAAGTCATTTTGCACAGGAAGTTCAGGCATCTCAGCAGAGTGTGGTGGACAGTGTTGTTTCTAACCAAGAGATTGGCCATCTTTTATTTCTGTTCTCCAGTCTTATTATTCAAATTATAGGAATATCCTCTGCTTTTATCTTCTAGAACAGCTTTCTTCACTGGGGAACTAAGCCTTTGAGTCCTCCCATTTCCAAAGTAACATACATTCCCCTCTTTACCGTGCCTTTGGGGTGCTGCAAGGAACAAGGAAACCACAGGACGTGAAAAGAAGGAGAGGAGAAAAGGGGAGAGGGGATATTACTATTGTCAGACCTACTTTGGTTCCATTGAGTATATCCAGCTTTGTTGAAGGAGGAGCAACGCCCCGTGGTAGCTCCCTCTTTGTACGAGCTATATTTGTGCAAAGCTGTGCCAGAGCCAGGATGCTAAAACTGGAAGGGCTGAGGAGAGCAGGAGAAACCCAGCCGCTGACGAGCCCAGATGTGACAGGTTTTGTTTGCTCAGCCACTATCCCGCACTGAATCCGTTTCCCCAGAAGCAGTGCAGGCAACTCCGCAGAGCCTGTGAGCCCATAAATAAACCCTGCCGGAGGTGAGCTGGCCTGTATAGAGCTGTCTTGGATATCTGCCTTCATGACTGCGTTTGTCAACAAACTAGAAAAGCTGCCTGCAGAGAGCTGGCTGTAGCAGGCCCCTGAGGTGGCAGGAATCAGTTCATTACTATCATTACCGAACTCTTTCTCTGTACCTCTTCTCTAATTCAGCAAAATATAGCCACTGCATCTTGCCTTCAACTATTAGGCACGTCCTCTTCTGCTGCTATTTTTTTCTTTATTGTCACTTTACATTGTTGTACCCAGTAAAGCATTTTTGGATGCAGCTGGTGAGTGAGATGGCAATTAAAATGTATTACCTTCGATTATTAATGATCTGTCTTGCACAGGGCTCAAAACTTTTTCTGATGGAAGCCTTTTTCACTGGCCTATTCCTCATGCAGTTCGTTGACATCTGCTGATGATAGCATTCTTCTCCCCAGATGTAGTGTATTCAGGAAAATCTGTACTGAATATCTGAGATACTGAGGCTCAGACCCCACCAGAGTTTTCATTAATGTACAAGAAGAAAATGTACCAATATGGGATCATATGAGAAGAAATTATATTCAGTAGCACCAATGCTCTACTGTCGGTTAGAAAAAAATATGGAAACAGCTACCTAGAGATTACCAATTTATGATGGCTTACGCTGTTAGGATACCATAGAGTGAGATTTTCTTGAGCATGTTTTTATTAGTGGCCAGGAAGAAGAAAAATAGCCTCATAATGTTACCATCAAAATAGTTATTTGTCATTTACAGGTAAGACTACCTGTGGTACATCTTAGAGTATCCAGTTGCTGCACTATCACCTTTAGCATTGCTGCACTTGCAGCGAAATTTTTTTCTTCTTTTTTTCCTTCGCGCCCCTCCCCCATACATAGAGCATTTGTTTGATATGTAACATGCCTCATAGCTTATTGAGGAAATCCTTTGGGTAGATACAGACATTAATCTTCAGACATGGATAAATGGATGACATCCAACTGCATTTAATACCCATAACTAAAAATATTTCAGTGATTTAATTTAAAGGGCATTATTGGATTTGGTTTGTTTTGGTTTTGCTTGTGGGAAGTACAAATTGATACTACCCTTTATGCAAAGAGCTCAGAGAAACATCTGTTCATTAAGGGTGCTTTCCACCCTCTGAAAAACATTCAGATTTTCATCTGCATTTGTGCCGAATTGAGTGCCAAGTCCGGTAAGCAGAAGGTCTATTTCCCAAGTTTATTAATTTATTTGTACCATTTTCTACATGTAAAGGACTCCTTTCAGGAAATGGATAAAACCTGCTTTGATTTTTGTGAAATCAGGACTTAATTTACATTCCTGGCCAAAGAGCATCATATTCCCCCTGCACCTTCCTGCAGGCAGAACCCACCTGTAGATCTCAATACCGAGAAGTGGAGCATAGCTTAGTACAAAAGGCATTCTCGGTCAAAGTAGTCACAGAGTGCTATGTGAAACCTGCTAAGAGAAATGAAGTAGTGGTTTTGGCTAACCTGAGAAGCAGCTGCAGAAAAACAAATATAATCTGTTTTTTAAGTGTGTATGAACTGCTAAATTAAAATACACATGAGTAAAAACTAGCTCTGGGAACAAATACAAAAGTGATGAATCTAACAAGGTTTTATTTTTGTTTAAAAGACAAAATTATGTATGTGCACATCATAGTGCAGATGCTTTCCATCACAAAATAGAACTTTTTATTTGAAAATTGTCGTACATTAAAAGTGATCCCCAAACCCCCTTCAGGCAAAATTCCAAATGTTTTGTCCAAACCCTGGAATATTTGTGTTTTGTAGTGCCACGGCTGTGCCTCCAGGAAATTGTTGTACAGGTACATGAAGCTCTCTTGCTCCTCTCTGAGGCATAATACACCATATTTGAGAGGCTGCCATGATGTGCCATGTAAAGAGAAGAGGAATTGTGGTGCTTTGTAAGAAAGGGAATCTGAAATAAGTTCAACTTAAAGAATACCAAGAATTTAAGACACTCAAATTTTAGCTCCCATGAGGGCTTGCATAGTGTCTTCAAATCTCTTTTCTGCTTTTCTTAGCTGAAACCTCTTAGCTGTTGACTTTTCACCAAAAACTTGATTTCCCACTGTGAAATAATAATAATAAACTGCAATAATAGGTGTGTTCTTCCTGTCATTAACACATTCTCTGAAGGGTAGAATGTTTTTCTGATAGGTTTTATTTCAACGTCTGCTTGTATGAGAATATGTATCCTTACACAAGTCTTTTTTTTCCCATGTGTGAGAGAATAAAACACATAAAATGTACTGTTTGAGCTTCAAGAGAAACTTGATTGAGTTTTCAAGGCATTAACATAAAAGTGAAGATTTTTATTAGTTCTAGAATATTTTTCTTTCTCACAGTTGAGCTATGCTACTAAAGTTCTCTGTGACACTGGCATATAACTAGTAAAAACTCAGAGTCATAAAATTCGATATAAAAGAACTTCATGCAATATAACAGAATATCTAATAAGCAATGCAGTTTTCAGAGTTGTGGAATAGATATCTTTAAAATGTCACCATTTCATTTTTTTTGTAGATATCTTCAGTGGTAGCTGTAGGAAGACACTGATTTTTATTTTAATGCTGATCATAGCTAGTCAAAAGACTGCAGTATTTTTTGAATGAAAATAATTTTGCAGGAATCTTCCCTTAATATTTTGTGATTTTTTTTTATTATTTTTAAAAAAGTAAATACCAGATTAGTTATTCATGTGTATATTACATATTTTATGGCCTCTTTCTGTGCATCTTTCTGCATTTCTTTCATTCGTTCTGCCTACTCCTCTTCCTCCCACCCACTGAAATACCTTATTTAGTTATCTTCCTAAGAAATACTCAAATAGTTCGGCTTTTGTTACAACCGTTTCATAATCTGTTGAGAGAATTTACATGAACTTTCAAAGACTGATACAACAAGTTATATGAGTGCTCTGCCGAGAGACCTCTGTGAAGAGATTTGGAGACCACGTACTTTCGATTCATACAAGGTGTTTTTCCTTCTAAGTCTGTTTGGAAGGCATCCCTCTGCCTTGTGCCTGGGAATTTCATTTTGCTGCACTTTGTCTGTAATTATCTGCATGTCAGACACCCACTGAAGTAAGAAAAAAATGTTAGGGTCGGAGAGGGTACCTCTCCTTTTCCCCTTGGAATTATGAGACAATTAACTGTGCTGCATGCAATTAGAAACAATGAAAAATAAATGATATGTATGCAGCCTTTATCAAAAAGATCAAAATACTGCTTCTATTTTTTCTAACATTAATCAGAGTAGAGCACTTAGCTAAGCAAACATCCGAGGTTGTGTGTCAGAGCACAGCTGCAGTGTTCATCCTGATTATTATTTCTTTGCTGAAGTCCTGTGTCCCCTCCCACAGCTGGAACTATAAAGAGAGCTACGTTTGTGGAAGGTGGTATTACGAGCAGCACGTAGGTAGTCTGGGATCCTGCCTGGGATGTCAGACTCTTTGGCAGCAGTATCGCTCAAAAAGTGATACCTGTTTCCTGATGCTTTGTGTCACACCTGCTGGAAAGAGCAGTGGGTGTAAATTTGGGATTATTGGCATTTTGGATACGGTCATCGTTGCTATCCCCACGTGCAGCATGTAGTCTTTCACCTCTGAGCAGACAGGTGAGCTGAGTCCAGACCCTGCATGCAGATTGCTGGGTCATGCAGAGGTAGGGATCCTTTTCTCCAAAACTATTGAGATTCACCTCCATGAAGGATGCTCTGCCAGGCTTATGTGCCCAGATGCACAGCAGACAGACCTCAACCCTGAGAAAAAGAGCTAGGAGAAGAAAAAACTCATCGCTGTGGAGATAAGATATGGTAGCACTCACCTCTCTCTAATCAATCAATAGAGAAATACCTCGAGAGGGCAGTTTGGCTGTGGTAAGGTCAGGGTTGGATGCCTGAGGGACTCAGTTTGGTTTGTGAAGTAGAGTGTGGGATGAATGCACAAAGTCAAAGCCACTGAATTGGCTTAACAGCCACAGGGCTGCCATGAAATGCCACACTGTGTTTTGGGGACAGCAGTTTGCCCAGCACACTCAGAGCAGAAACAAAGAAATGATCCTTTAGGAGTCTTCCTTTCTTTTCTCTTCCTTTCTAGCAGCTGTGTGTAGTCGCAGTTGAAGCGTTAGCCCAGCTGATACAAACAAGAGACCGTAGTTTGACAGTGCAGTGAATCGGCCTTCAGCATTTCAGTTGCTGAACCAAAATTTTCACAGGCGCGTAACGCAAAGGGACGATTCAGCGCAAACTCCCTCTGCCAATTCAACCATCTCGGCAGCGCGCTGAGTCAGTCGTGTTCCAGCCATCTTGAAGCCGAATCAGGCATTGTCTGGCTGCCCCCTGCTAACAGCAGGCCCAGTTGGGTATCGCGTGTCCTCTTCCTGCCTAAAGCCAGCATAAATGCTGTTAGCTGTCTCCAGCTAACTTAACAGAAATGCAGACTTGGGCTTATACCTGATCCACATCAAATTCACCCTGTGGAGGAAACCCAGTAGAGCCCAGTTTACTATTAATGCCCACGGCAGCACTCTGCCTCGGCTTCTGCACAGCTACAGTCCAGACCAGACAGTATCGTGTATCCAAATACAGCATCTTCAGTGGCCAATGTTGTGTATGAGCATAGAGCACACATGTGCAAATATGTATCTTAAGCAGTGTGGTATACCGCTCGCAAGTCTTCTAGGTAATTCTGCAAAACACCTTTCATCTTTAAGTAAGCATCTTTCAAATGTCGCCTTGCATAAGGAATGCTGGGGATTTTGTCTGTGGTTAATCTGTCTCTTTCTGTTTGTTTATTATAATCCAGGACAAATGATACCGGCCTCCTTGCATTCAAAGACCATTTGCCTGTAACTCAGATAGTGATCACTGACACAAACAGATCAAATTCTGAGGCTGCTTGGAAAATCGGCCCTTTGCGTTGCTATGGAGACAGTGAGTACAAGCTTTTCTCAATTTCCATAGGTACAGAATGTTCCCTCTTTCTTTTTGTTTTGTGTTTTGTTTTGTTTTTTTATTTTATTTTAAAATGTATTTATCTGATGAAAGGTGGCTTTCCACATGCAGCTTGCAGCTGCTGTCCTGTGCCAATTAACTATAGAGAAGGGGGTTGTGTTCGCAGGGCAGTTCTGGAACGCCGCTTCCTTCAACACGGAGGCCTCCTACCTGCACTTCCCCACCTTCCATGCCGAGGTCAGCGCGGACATCTCCTTCTTCTTCAAAACTACCGCTGCCTCCGGGGTATTCTTGGAAAACCTTGGGATTAAAGACTTCATACGAGTTGAAATAAGCTGTAAGTTTCACTGCCAAGAAAACTTGGTGTGTTTGCCCAATTTGACAGGTGCAGGGAAGTGGGAAAGACATATTTTCTTCTGTCTTGAGACAGTTGGAGGTGCCTGAAGAGGATGAGATGGAGACATAAAGCCTCATTGATCTAGACCTATCTACCTCTCCTCTAAGAGTTCCCCTGTATGGCCTTGGTCATTACACTTAATCTTGTTATGGCTAGGTTTATCTTTCTTAAACAAGCAGGTGACTGAATTTACTTTGTCAACACTGATATTAGTTGTTTTGGGGTTGTTTTTTTTTCTCTTTAGAGAAAAAGCTACGGGTTAGATATACCTGTAGACTGTAACTTTAGTTGAAAAATGTAAAACAACCACTCTGAGGGTTACTTTTACTTCTGTATCAGCAACATGCCCAGTCTGATTCAGCCCTAGTGTTTCAGCAGACCTCAGCATGTATGGTACAGCTATGAGGTGACAGCCTATGAAGGACAGGATGCTAATGCAAGATAAGTCAGTCACAGTTGCAACGGGCCTTGAATACTTCAAAATCTAGTAAGTGACTGCAGTATAACTGCTACTCAGTATATAAAGGAGAGGAGCAGGGAACTTAATTAGTGAGGTTTTGCCTCACTCCTGTTCTGATGAGTTCAGATATTTATTAGTGACAAAAGAGTATCGTGGCTTGACATGAAATATTACTTCTGTATTCCAAATTCTGTCAAGCTTAGGAAAAACAAGCTAAGTGCTATGCATTTTATAATATGCTTATAATAACCCCAACATAAAATTTAATAAAACAGGGCCCCAAGGCCCTTCGATTCATTAAACCAATGGTAAATGTCATGGTGCATTATCACAAGGTAATGAGGTATGATTTACTGCTAATTGCACATCAAAGTCCAATTTGGTTGTACTTCAGTGTACTGCATTTCATTCTCAGAGGTATGGAAGTAAAAGTAGCATTTTGATATCAAATACAACAAATACTGTAAACTGCTGAGGGGATTGTTTAGTGCAAGCTTTCGTATGTGTGTAAAATCCATATTCCTAGAGAAATGAGTTATATAAAAGTTCAGGGAAAGTCTTGTCTTTTAAACTTAGGCTTCTTATTAGTAGTTTGGTGGTGTTTTTCTTCCTGCCAGATGGAATTTGCAGCCTAAAGGCCTTGTATCAAGGAAGTTCCACAGACCAGCTGCTTTGAAGGGAAACAGCCTTTTAGCAGATGCAAGGGCTCAGAATAGATCTTTGTCTATCCCTATGGAGTGTTTCCCATCTTAACTATCTAAGAAGCAGCTTCCAAAACCAGACCTATCCAATTTATTTGGCTTGAAATAACAGGTTTTTATGAATTTTCAATACACAACCTTCTGGTTGTGTGGTTTGTGGACTTGGTTCTCAGTCTTTCTGGTGTATTTAGCATTTTAGAAAGAGGAAAAATAATCAGTAGCAAGAATGTTAAAAAGTTCCGGCCCCATTCAGCCTTCCAGCAGAGCAAGACGGACTCCTTTATATGACTGTTGTTTTTCAATTATCATCCTGTTTCTAGGAGCCTTGCTGTCTCTGGACATGTGTTACATATGCCTCTTTAGTTTAGGATCACTAATGAACTAGTTTCGCTCATCTGTTTTTCCTTGCTTCCTGCGTCAGGTTTATTCAGGCAAACAAATGCGTGTAGGATTCTCTCCTACCATATGCAGCCAGGTTCTGTAATTGTTAACTACATGTATTTTGTAAGATTTAGTCAGAAGGAGCTCCTTCATCCTTTTTCTCATCTTAGCATTATTCATCCAAAATGTTTGGCTACCATTGTGTGACTTTGTATAGCATTTGGCACTTGTGCTTGAAAAGAGAATAAACTACTATTTCTAGAGCACTGTGATTGTTATAGCAAAAAAAGATGGGTACCCACAGCCAAGCATAATCACAGCAGAGATCAAACAGTGAGGCTGCAGGCTTAGATTTATGTATAAGCTGCTGGGTAGGAGATGGGAGGTAAATGATGCTGTACTATTTGCTGACATAAAAGTTAATGGACCCTATATTTATGTAAGATTTCTTGATGTCAAAGCCACGACTTAGTTCAGACCTTCACTTCCTCTTCACATCTGTTTGTCTATTCCAGCCCCCAAAGAGATCACCTTCTCCATAGATGTCGGGAATGGCCCCACAGAAGCCACTGTGCAGTCTCCCACACCCCTGAATGACAACCAGTGGCACTATGTCCGAGCGGAGAGGAACCTCAAGCAAACCTCTCTCCAGGTGGACAGCCTCCCCAAGAAGGTCCTGGAGGCACCTGCTGAGGGCCACTTCCGCTTGCAGCTCAACAGCCAATTATTTGTAGGTAGGGACCATTTAAGGGTTTCTGTAGATATGTACAGTATGTCTATGTCTGTACCTTGGTAACACTGTTGATTCACCATTGAGCTTGCATGTGGTGACATATTTCTGCTTTCTCTTCTTCCACTCCTGCATAGGCAACATAAAGTAAACACCCAAACTACTGCCTTTACACTCAAAAGCACTAATCATAGTTTAACCGTAGTATACCAGATGGTATTTTTAGACTCTAAGGTTGCTTGAAACATATTTAGTGCCAAAGAATTCATAGTATTTCTTCTTGTGCAGCACTGGCTGTGTAATTTGCTGTAGGAAATGTGATCTCTCATTTTAGATGCAGTGTAAAAGGCACAAATTCTTCATATGAGTTTCTGGGGCAAAGCCTAGTGACAGTATGGTCTTAAAGTCTGTTCATTCAAGCGTGCCTGCTAAAACCCTTATTTGGCCATAGAGTGCATGTGCAAGAGAACTATGAACACAGTCAAAGCAAATACAGTTATTTTAACTGAAGGTGATCTTTCAAGGGGGGGGGGGGGGGGAAGAAGAAAAGAAAGAAAAAATAATATCTGTTTGCGTATGCTTTGTTTCCTTATCTCCCTTGCAAATTAAACCTAGATTGGGACCAGCTTGTATTTGATAATATAATCAGGGATTACAAAGGGACTTCTTCCTTTTCTATATTCAAACACTGTCTTTCTGAGTAATCTGCTCAGTGATGGAGTGGGTTGTAACCTGCGTCTTATTCAGGGCCGCTCGGGTAACTACTGATTCTTTCCTTAAAATGGATTCTCTTACTTAGCTGAAATGCTATAGCAAACCTCAATCTGTCAATTCATTTTAATAAAGTTTGCCTGTGTATCCACACCCTTTGATTTATGAAGATTTTGGGGTACTTATTTGAGCTTTTTATAATGTATGTGTGCAGTAATTACTGGGCTGTGAACATAATGAATGAATCTGTTAATAAATAGCTATAGCTGTATCAATGGCCAGGAGTCCTTCCCTCATAGCTGTTGATTCATACCTAAAATGATCTCTGATAGACTCAGCCAGAGGAAAGTTCCCTAAAGAACTCACAGAAGGGAAGCTTAAGACTGTCACAGTGTGAGGTTTCTGCTTTCTGGTATGAAGCATGCTGCTAATCACTTGTTTCTCAAATGCTGTGATGATCCTAGGAACACGTTCTGTGGGAGCCCAAGCCTGAAGGCGGTAGGGTTGTGCTGCTAGACACCTTAGAAACATCAGAGAAATCTAAGCAAGGTACTGTTTCCAGTTAGAAAACTTCGAGAATTTAATAACTGGATAGACTTTTGGAAATTTCTGATTGTTTCCTTTTAAAGGAGTAAAAATGGAGGGTTTTTTCGTAAGTCTATCAGATATGTCATATATATCAGCTGCTTACCATCTTACATCAGCTAATCAGTATCTGCCTATAAGCTTGTTTCTCTGCCTCAGCAGAATAAGCAGGTTATCTGAATGAACTTCATGATGGTTTTAAAGCGACATGATGAATGAATTGCATCATGAAACCCCATGGTGGTTAAGGACCTCAACAGAGAAATGTGTCAACAGGAACCCTTGTCAGCAAAGGCAAATGCAAAGCCCTGCACCTGGGGCAGAATAACATCATGCATCTGTACAAGCTGGGAATTGAGTAGGTAGGATGCAGCTGTGCAGAAAAGGTCCCATTAGTCTTGGTGGAGAAGGGAATCTGTACCGCACCTGAACGTAGCTGTGCTTTGGGGAACAGGTTGCACCAGTTGACCTCCAGCGGTGACTCCCGACCTGTTTTTCTCTGATTGTATTTAATATTTAGAATAAACTCTAGGACTTAGTTACTTTATCTCAGCCAAGAGGTGAAAAGTTCTCACTGTGCAGTAAATCCACAATTTACTCAGCCCTGAACAAAAGGGACAGAAAACCTGATGCTTTTAGGAGTGCTTTTTCTGCCCTTAGCTCTACCATATTGAAGGCCAAAACTGTCCGTGACTTCCCGAGTTTTTCTAAGAGCAGTCAGAAGAGATGGAAACCTGGGCAGCCTCCTGATACTGACACTGCTTGTCCCCAGGTGCTCCAGGGAAACGTGGCAGAAGTCCAACAATACACAGATGTGGCATAATTTGTCTCTGCTGAAGGTCTTATTCCAATCTCTAATAGGAAGCAACTGATTTAATACCTCAACCATGCGGACCGAATTTTATCTCATCTGAAAAATAAATGCATAAACAACATTGTAAAAAGGAAAGAAGCAGCAGTACATAATATTATTCCCTACTCCCCCTATAATCCACAACATATTTGTTTCTGCAGCATTCTGCATTCTGACAGTGATTAAGGGGTTTCTGCAATTAGTATGCACATTCTTAATTAATAATCTATATAACTGATGTAATTTGCTATTTTAAAAATGTTCCAGATATTTTTTGATTGAGTCTCCCTGTTTCATTCCATTAAAACATGGAAGTTTGTTTCCACACTGGAGGTAGTTTGTCATTAAGATATAACCTTTTCTTTTTTACTTGATTCTTCTCCGGAATCAATTCAAATATTTTGTAAATCTCATAAATAAGGCTCAGTGTCAACATTTGATTTCATTTATTTATCTTCTGGAAGGATTTATTGATCCTTTGGGATGAAAGAACTATATTAGTATCATGTAGCATTACGATGATGATCAAATGGAGATCCACTGTAGCTTTCAAACTATGATTATTTTCCTGTTGCTTGAGAGACATCAGCCTATGTGCAGTATATGTGAGGTGGTTATATAACCCTCTAAAAGGAAAAGTCTTTTCCTTTTAGGGAGTTATAAGCAGTGGATGACGTGTATAAAATAAATTTGGACATTTGTAAAATTTGACCACAGAGGCAGTTGGCATATAGCATAATTTTAAAGGAATTCTGCTAATTTGGACCAATTCATTCCTTGTCAGCTGTTTCTGCCTGGTTTATGAATGAGTTATTTACTGCAGTTTTGGACAGATTTCTCCTTCTTAACTCAAGAACCAGATATATTTGGGACTGTAATAGAAGAATTTAGCTCTTGGGGTATTTTTTTATTGGTTTATTGGGTTTTTTTAAAAGTTAGCCTGTCAAACAGACTTTTTACTTTCTATGATTTATAGTGAAGAAAGTTGAACAGAAGCCTTCTCCAGCAATGTTAACAAAATAGTCAGTTGTAGGCAGTTGTGGAGCTGTGCTTCATTTACTTCTGATCCGGAGATACCAACACGTTGTGAGGCAGTTAATCAGCCTTTAAATACTTCGTAAGGATGGGAGTTAAGAAAGCCTGACTTTCCTTGGAAGTTTATCTTCAGATTGACTGACTTAGGTATTTTAGGAGATTTAGGCTTTTACTGAAGAATTTCCAATGACTAAGCACAGAGAAGGATTTCTCTTTTATGTGTGCAGTTTCTTTTATGTCCAGTAAGGGATGAATTCACATTTCAGTCTTCCTGAGTGGAGACCTTGATGCTGTTTCTCTCTTATTTACCCTGCTACCAGTTTTCTTGAAATATGTGAGAACATAATATTCTCTCTCTTAAACTTGGCAAGGAATTTAAAAAGACTGGATTCAGAGATAAAAATATACCACGTGTGTGGGCAAATATTCTCTCCCATAAGAAACCAAACGCAAAAAAACCTCAAATCACAACAACTGTCTAGTCCTTTTAGATGGAGAAAACACTGATCGTGAACTAATGCAAAGCTGCGTCTTAAAGACTGTGAAAAATGTTCAGAGACTATAGCAGAGCCTGGGAGTCTCACCATGACTTGTCCCTATGCTAATCTTGAGTTGTGTGTGTTCTTGAACTTCAGCCTGTCTGGGTCATTGCTAGGGTAAAAATCAATTTTCAGCTTGCTCTGTGTACTTAGGTGTAACTGTGGGTGTGTTTAATGTTCTTAAACTGCATTTCTCTGGCGTAGCTCTGAATGTTCGGCATGTCTTACTGAACTTGAACTCACATTGTATTACTTGGATTAACAGTACTATCTCCTTTATCACTCACTTCTGGCCTTGATAAGCATAAAGTAGCCATAATTCATTATCTGCACATGAATACACCCACAAATACTTTCATTTTGGAGCTGGTGCAACATTGCAGGTAGATAAGTTCACACGAGTTTTGCGTATGCTGGAGAGATGCACTCGCATAGTGATTTCTGTTACCCCAAAGTCTCTTTTATAAATCGATATTGTATAAAAGGAATACAGAGATAACAGCTGAGAATTAGATCCTTCTTTTCATATGCTCATACTATTCATTGTATTCACAGAAATGCTGAAATTTGGGGGTCATTTCTTTCTGTACCACCTGTTCCCCATTCAGTTCTGCCCTGCCACCTTTCATTGCCCTGTTTTGTGTTTGATTCAAGGGGCTTGGCCATTCTTTCGTCTTACTGATGTGATGCCTGCCCTGCACCATCTACCTTTGGGGAATGTTCCCCCTGGGAAAGCAGAACCCAAGCAGTTGCTCTGGCCAGCAAGCCACATAGCATGTGCAAGAGATATTGCCTAGATTCCACTGCAGTGGTGATTTCTTATACATGCCATGCAAAATAAACCGTAGAAAATGGCTACCTTCTTATTTGATCTGCCTGAAGATAAAACCAGAGGAAGGGGAGACAAAATGGAGGTGTTCACATCTAATCCCTCTCCTTTTATCTCCTCGTCCATAGCAACACAATGTGACACAATTCAAATTTGCAATTCTTGTTATATTCCATCGCTTCCTATAAATATCTGACTATTCAATTACAGTTTTTCTCTGTTACGGAGAAACAGTTATGCATAGTCAGTAAGAGACAAAAGCGTAGGTTAAATAATGTTTGTATGATTAGCTCTTGTGTTTAACTTGTAATTGACTCACAGGACACATGTATTTATCTATGTAGTACCAGAAAGAGTTTTTCTGTGGCTACACTTGTTGCAATAACTTAGTATAAAGACAGGAAGTCTGCTTAGGGCCAACATTGGCACACATGGAGTGTGCGGCAGGCTTTGAGTTAGCTTTCTGTGTGTGCAAAGCGGAAGGGAGAAATGCTTCTTCGTTGTCAGTACACTGAAAATCAAGCAAGCTTGGATTGTAAAGCAGCCTGAAGGAGTTAGAAAACCATTTCTCGCTTTCTTTTAGTGGGTCTCAGGTATCTAACTTCTTTAAGCTGCTTTTTAATCCCAAGTCACATCGAGGATATCCCTGCATTTGGCTATATTTCTTCTGTTAATTTAAAAAAATTACAGTACAAGGAGCAAACCTTAAACAAATGTACAGGCTAGATAACATTAACTGCACCGAACTGCCCAGCCACAGGCCAATTTGACACATTACTTGTTCTGAAGGGACAGGCAGAAATCATTCCTTTCAATGGATGGTGGCTTTCAGCATTCAAAATGAGTGACATCCTTTTGGATAGTGCAGCTGTCTCCTGGTATATCCCTGTGGTCCTGGAGGAGGTGTGTCATCGTCTCCTCTCATGGTGTAGTCTGAGATGAAACTGTCTAATTTCATGAAGACGGCATGACCATAGCACTCCGGTATGGGGAGGAAAGGGGAACGACAGTCCTCACAGACCTCTTTGAGAACAAGATTTGCATTCCAACTGGTAACATCAGAGAAGCAAAATAAAAATCCTAAGAAGTTAATTTGCTGCATAAAGCCTTGATCAGAGGGTTTTGTGCTATTGGTTTGGTATGTTCAGGGCACAAGCAAAGTTAAGTGCTTGGGTTCCTGGTTTTGTCTTGGGAGCAAGGGAGCGAGAAATCCTCGGGTGAATCTCCTCTGTCTGTTGTAGACAGTCCAAATGCAACGTAACCCAAAGAGAGTCAACATCTGAGAAACTTTCTTGGGAGACAGAGAAAAGGAAGGGGCATACTTTGTTTACTGTTTTGTTGGGTTTTTGTTTAAAGGAATCTGTTGATACTTTGGGATGTTTTGGAGGCCAAGAGGAGAATTTGATACTTAATTCCTTGTGTATCTTGACTGCTTTGTACAACTTTCAGTTTGAGACTAATAAGTGTGACTTAGACGTCTTCTAAGGAATATCACTGCAAGTTCTTCTACTCCTGAGTAATAATAATGATGATTCTTATACTCTTGTGCTCTTTCCTTATCTTTTTATCAGTTACATAAAGCAAGAAAGCTCCTAATACTTCTTTACGCTGCTTCAGCCTCCCTAATCCAGTTCTTACCAACAAAAAGTGCTTGTCTTTTTAAAGCAAATCCTCAGTTCATTGATAGAATGTTAATAATTTAGCCAATGGTGTCACTGGGCTACACTATGAGTTCTCAGTTGTGAAGTTCTTGCCCCCTCCTCTCAGACTCTCTTCCGTGCCCCATGGCTTCTCAGTACAATTCAGCTGCATAAATACCTCGCTGAAAGCAGCATGGCTCATTTGACTGTCACCTCCACTCAGCAAAGAACACCCTTAACCTTGGTGTTTATGGTCCTGAGGCTTATCCTAAAATTGGTCTTCCTGAACAAAACATGTAGGTTGCATGCATGAAATTGTCTAGTCTAACAGGCCTATTAGGGTAGGAAGAATCTGCAACGCCTAGTTTGGGGAAGGGTTTTGTTTGTTTTCAGTTTTTCTCTGCTTCCCAGGAATGTATTTGAAGATTAGGTCTAGTCAATTGAAGAAAACTGCCCAAATGCCAAAAAAATAAACAGATTTGCTTAAGCAATACTGTGTGGATCTATGGTCATATCAGTGGTCTCTGTTAAGAGCTATACTCTCCAGACATTAGAAGAGGAGAAGAATGAGAAACTTACTTTACATGGCTTTCCAAAGTGCTTTAGAGAGCAGTAAGAATATAGGTAGTGCAATAAACATGACATCTATGGAACAGTTAATAGTTTGTACTCATTCTTTAAATGTTGCAGCTGAGATTTGCATGTGTGTGGAGAGAAAAGACAAAGAAACTGTTATCCTTGTAGTAGTTGTGGTTACCTTCCATGCAAAAGAAAACACAGTAACCAGTAACCTTAAAGGGAGAAATCACTTTTCTACTTATTTGGACATTACTGAAAATTCTGTGTGGTGTATTTGGTTTTGGAAGTAAATCTCCAAAGGATTGTGTGTGCACAGGTCAGCGAATGCAGAAGGCGCGATTCTTGTGCTCAGAAGGCCTTTAAAATAAGTGAGCTAACATTTGCTTACCTGAAAAGAGCAGCTGGCTAAAGAGGAATTTGAAAATATTTGTTTCTCTGAGAAAAGGCATCATAAAATTAGCATAAAATAAACCTGTCTCACACATACTATCCTATAGTTCAATTATTCTAATTCAAATTCAGTATTTCTGCCATAAGTGTACCAAAAAGAAAAATATGCTAGAACGGTATAGCGGAACAATAGGGTTTTGGTGAGATTGCTTTTCAGACTGTTGCTTCATTCTCTTAGTTTGCAGAAGTCTTGCTTTAATTAAACAATTTATGAAAAAACAGATGCTCTCTTGCAAGGACTTATCAAAAGATGTAATCTCTTCTCTCATGCACATTGGTATAGAACCAACTTCTACAGAAGAATAATTCGGAAAGATAACTTCTTTCATACTACTTTTGCAGGAGAATCACCAATAAAGCTAGCATTTCAGAGCCTACAAATGCTGTTAACTCCTGAACCAGAATTAGATTTCTTAGCAGCAATCAAAATTGCAGTATCTTCAAAAGCAAAACATTGGCAACTGCCAAACAATGCCTGCAATAAAAAAAAAAAAAGGTGATATCTTCACAAAGTACTCTAAAAATCATCATTATTAAAATTCTCAGGGCCCGCTTCTTACGGAAAAAGTGTCTTCATTATAACACTGTTAGCAATTTCATTGGGCAGATATGAAGCTAGTTAGCTTGCAGAGACTGAACTGCCCTCTTGCATGGATCCATGCAGCTCTGGTCTTCAGAAAGAGATACAATTATGTTTTACAATTGTAATAAATAACACACTGTGACCTGAACTCATGTTTCTTGCCTACGACAACCATTCACATGCAACATCAGGTTGGGCAGTCATGCATAAATTCCGACTCAAGTCATTTCCCTTCAGCCAGCCGGTCTGGTGCTGAACATGACTCATCCCTCCTATCTGCACTCATCAGCATGTGTAACTCACCTGCTGTTGGGATTAGGGTGTTATTTATACTCTGTACTATAGGAACAAATAGGAAAAAAAAACCCAAAACATTTTAGGTTTGGGTTTCTCATGTATGAGGTGATATGCAGACATACGATAAAGAAGCTAATATTTTTTCCCAAATTAATTTGCAGTTTAAATGCCAGACAGGGCAGTAGATAAGGCAGGAAAGGGAAGAATGGCAACAAGAAAGTGTCACATACAGCTTTTTGGTCCTTCCATAAAGATAGAGATCTTTAGTTTCCAGAGCTGTCCGTCTGTCATCTTTTGCCACTGTATGCATTGATATACAATACATAATATTTTTTAAAATTCATGGATTCGTATTTGTACCTCTGGATTGGACTTCAGGGCTTTGATTACTGTGCAGACTCACCAATGAATGCATGTCCTTTTCCTCTCTTTTTCAGGAGGAACAGCTTCCAGACAAAAGGGCTTTTTGGGATGCATTCGATCTCTGCATTTAAATGGACAGAAACTTGACCTTGAAGAGAGAGCTAAAATGACACCTGGTGTTAAACCTGGATGTCCAGGACATTGCAGCAGTTATGGTAACCTGTGCCATAATGGAGGAAAATGTGTGGAGAAGTATAATGGTTACTCCTGTGATTGTACCAACTCAGCCTATGAAGGACCTTTCTGCAAGGAAGGTAGGCAGCGAGCTTTGGTCCTGCATCGTTAGGGGGGAAGGTCTGGAGGGAGGAAGATTTCCCCTCAGTTGAGGAGGACCAGGTCCGAGACCACTTGGCCAGTCCTCGGGAGACCCAGACTTTGCAGGTAACCGAGAAAGTCTGGGGGAAGCAAGACTATCCCTTGGTTGATGAGGAGCACGTTAGAGATCAGTTCGATAAACTGGCTATACACAAATCCATGGGGCCTGATGGGATGCACCCTCGGGTGCTGAGGGAGCTGGGGGAAGTCATTGCTGGGCCACTCTCCATCATCTTTGAAAGGTCCTGGAGGAGAGGTGAGGTGCCTGGGGACTGGAGGATAGCCAATGTCACTCCAGTCTTCAAAAAGGGCAGGAAGGATGCCCGGGAAAACTACAGGCCAGTCAGCCTCACCTCCATCCCTGGAAAGATGATGGAACAGCTTGTTCTGGGTACCATCGCAAAAAACCTGGATGAAAAGAAGATTATCAGAAGGAGTCAAAATGGATTCACCAAGGGGAAGTCATGTCTGACTAATCTGATAGCCTTCTATGACGAAGTGACTAGATGGGTGGATGAGGGGAGGGCAGTGGATGTTGTCTACCTTGACTTCGGCAAGGCTTTCGACACTGTCTCCCACATCATCCTCACAGGCAAGCTTAGGAAGGGTGGCTTAGATGAATGGACAGTGAGGTGGATTGAGAACTGGCTGACAGATAGAGCTCAGAGGGTTGTGGTTAGTGGGGCAGAGTCTAGTTGGAGGTCAGTAACAAGTAGTGTCCCTCAGGGGTCAGTACTGGGCCCAGTCCTGTTCAATATATTCATCAGTGATCTGGATGAAGGGATAGAGTGCACCATCAGCAAGTTTGCTGATGACACAAAACTGGGAGGAGTGGCTGACCCGCCAGAAGGCTGTGCCGCCTTACAGCGTGACCTGGACAGGCCGGAGAGTTGGGCAGAGAGAAACCTTATGAAATTCAACAAGGGCAAGTGTAGGGGACTGCACCTGGGGAGGAATAACCCCATGCATCAGTACAGGTTGGGGGCTGACCTGCTGGAGAGCAGCTCTGTGGAAAGGGACCTGGGAGTCCTGGTGGACAACAGGATGACCATGAGCTAGCAATGTGCCCTGGCGGCCAAGAAGGCAAATGGCATCCTGGGTTGCATCAGGAAAAGGGTGGCCAGCAGGTCGAGGGAGGGCATCCTCCCCCTCTACTCTGCCCTGGTGAGGCCGCATCTGGAGTACTGCATCCAGTTCTGGGCTCCCCAGTTCAAGAAGGACAGGGATCTGCTGGAGAGGGTCCAGCAACAGGCTACAAAGCTGATTTGGGGGTTGGAACATCTCTCATATGAGGAAAGACTGAGGGACTTGGGTCTCTTTAGTCTAAAGGAAAGAAGGTAAGGGGGGGATCTTATTAATACTTACAAATACTGAAAGGGAGGATGCCAGGGGGATGGGAGCAGTCTTTTTTCAGCGGTGCCCAGTGATAGGACGAGGGGTAATGGGCACAAGCTTGAATATAGGCAGTTCCATCTTAACATGAGGAGGAACTTCTTTACCTTGAGGGTAGTGGAGCACTGGCACAGGCTGCCCAGAGAGGTTGTGGAGTCTCCCACTCTGGAGACATTCAAAACCCGCCTGGACGCTGTCCTGTGCAACCTGTTGTAGGTGACCCTGCTCTGGCTGGGGGGTTGGACTAGGTGATCTCCAGAGGTCCCTTCCAACCCTGACCATTCTGTGATTCTGTGATTCTGTTAGTGGTCTCCGAATTACAGCACAGTTTCATTCATGTCAGCTTGGTGTCCCCCATATTACAAGAAGATGTTCTAATATCAGCTGTCCTTTCAGCATTATTAAGTATTTATCTTAAGCAGGCTATAGCTCCTCCTTTTGTCCACTTCAGTGGTGGCCTCCGAAATTAAAATGGTTAACCATTAAAGTTACCACCTATATCCCAATATGATTCCTGTATTTGATTGTATATAGCTTGGCCCAGACATTAACAAATAGGGCTGAAATTTTTCATAACTGTTGTCTGCCCATGTCTGAATGTTTAGTTTCCTTGTTTTTAAATCTCACCCAGCTTTGTCCACCTTAGCAAAACCTTGAGAGCTTTTCTTTACAGAGTTTTGGAGCAATGGTGTGATAAAACAAAGTAGTCTTTTTACATTTTTTCTGCCAATCCTTTGACAACCCATCTAAACGTTAAGAGATTTTAAAAATAAGTGTGAAGCATTCAGGAGAAAAATGTTTTGCATGGTTTGACCTCTGGCGAACATGTCCTCACTGAACCTTGCTGGTGGCTTGTAAGAGACGTTGCTGACACCAGAAAAAGGAGCAGGGCAAATAAAGAACATCCAGTTTAGATAACATGCTCCTTGGAAGAGGAAGGAACTAACAAAACTCCTGCTCAATAACAGCAAGGTGCAGTGTGAGTGTCCTAATTTCCATGGCTGCCCCTCACCTCACAAACGCAACAGGTTAACTAAGTGGGCCGCATCATCTGCTGGTGTAAATCGGCTTAGTTGTACTGCAGTCCATGGAACTATGCCCACTTACATGAGCTGAGGATTTGGCACCGATGCCACGAGAGGCGTATCAAAATAACCGTTTAGTGTCCTGTTAGGAGATGCTGCTGTAGAGGTGGAGCTGCTCAATTGGAGAAAGTACTTGCAGTTGGTCTGTAGCTGAAGATATCGCCATCCTGTCTTTACTGTGCCTCACATTAAAAAAAAACCTGCTGTTATCATACCTGTGTATTTCATGGCCAGACTATGTTGTGTTTATTGGAAACACAAGTGTGAGTTCTCGGGATTTAAACATGCACAGGTAGATGTGTCTTCTTTTGGAGCTACCAAAGACAGCTTCCTTTGCTGGCTGTCTTTGGGTCAATGTGTTGCTTTAATAATGACTTTGTTTAAAAAGGAGACTGGAAAGGACAAATATATTGTCTTGACTGTGGGGGAAAGACAGAGAATATTGCCTTACACTTCAACTGTCAGAAGATGGTGAACTGAGCATCTGTTTGGCTGACAGACATTTTGGCCTGTTCTATCCTGTGGAGCTCTGATTCCAAAACTAAAATAGTTAAATGTAGAGGACTGTCTCCATGCACTGTCCTTCTCTGTACCAGAAAATGGACTGTAAGGAAGGGCACACTGCTCGTCCAAATTAAAAAAATGGTAATGTCATCTGGGTAAGGGATTTTGCGGTGTTCTGCTTCTGAGGCAGTCAGCTCGTGTCCATGCCTGTATAGGACATCTGCAAATGCGGTAGCTGAAATTATTCCCTTGGTTTATATATACTTTCAGAGGTTTCTGCATTATTTGAAGCTGGGACTTCCATTACCTATATTTTCCAAGAACCTTATCCCGTCACAAAAAATGCAAGCACCTCAAGCTCTGCCATTTATGCGGATGCTGTCATGTCCAAGGAAAATATTGCATTTAGCTTTCTCACGGCACATACTCCAAGTCTTCTGTTGTACATCAACACCTACTTTCATGAATATTTGGCTGTGATTCTCTCCAAGAATGGTAAGTACTCTTGATTTGCTACAAAAGGAAGACCAGTGTAACTGTGTTAAAGGGTTTTTTTTGAGAATAGTATAAAATTCTACACTGATTTAAGTTCATTTCTGTGTCTGCAACTTTATCAACTTCATGGTATTCAGTTCATGCAAATTGCCATCAATCTTGTTTATGTCCCTTTATTTGGCATTCAGTGCTACACTTGCCTATTCAGTCTTTGAATAATCATGCTGTTGGGGCTTAAAATGTGCTTTGACTTTCATTTGGCAAGACTCTACAATAGCAGTTCCTTGCTATTTATTCCACACTGAGATCCATTAGGCCTCCAAGATAAGGGAATGAGAAATACCATGAATGTATAAGAACACTCGGTGCAGAAATATATTATCATTTTATCATTTGCATTGTCTTGGCACACGTATTGCTCTTCACTGGGTTGTTTCAATGGAATATAGCCGATTCGTCTGAATATTAAAGCCAGAAAATATCAGTTTTCTAGGTTCACTGACCAAAACGTGAAGTGTAAATCCATTTTCTGTTAAGAGGTACATGGTGTGGGGATTTTTTGAAAACATGTAGAGATTCTAGGGGCACAGGCCCTACATCTCCTCAGTAAGACTCTGGCTCCTGAGTCCTTGCAGTGCTTTCAGAAAACTCACTCCAGAGAAACATCATCCTAGATAAATGAGGATGTTTGAATTATTCAAGAGTTATTTAGGCACTGGAGCACTGGAAATGATGAGTAAGCGTATTGGTGAGTCACTAGCCTGTGGCAGAACAATAGAAAGTTAATGCTATGTGGTTGAATATGTGCATTTGACTGAATGACCCGACCACTCTGAAGCCTTGCAAACTCCAAAATAGCTAAGCTTTCAAGTTCTGTCAAATGAAACTATAAGGAAAAAAAAAAAAGGGTTTATTCTCTATATGGCTTTAGCAGTAGTTTATCTCCTGGTTATGTCATTCAGCTAGCATTTAGGCTGGCGTGTGATGAGCATCCAAATCCCTGGGAAGGGTGGCTGGGACAGTATCAGCCTGGACCAATCTCCCCTAAGCGAAGTTGCAGCAGCATGGTGGAACTACTGAGGAAACTCACTCTCCTGTCTTGTCCAGTCCCAGATTTCCATCTCTGATTTGCTCTCAGAGGCAAGTGTTTATGATTTTCGGATTTTTGAATATTCCAGTGAGTAGTTCCAGGGCGGCAGAGGTTAGCCCCTGCTGACACGAAACCTTGAAATTTGCTTCTCAGTTAGACTCAGGTCTCTTGATACCACTCAGGCAATTGAAAATAGCCCAAAAGTGAATGAAAATATAATGTCCATTTAAACCACCTTTAATGCGGCCAGAGTAGTGTAAAATTACCTTAGAAACATGAGTCAGCTGGTTGTATTCAGCAATACAACCATAAGCAAGCTATAATTGTGAAGTTCTGGAAGGGGAGACTCCCTAATAGTGGTTGGGGAAGGGGTTGGGATCAGGACACTGGCATCTCTTGTATCAGCTCAGCAGGAGCAGAGATAAGCCTTGCATTTTTGCAGCTGCACCGTCTGCAGATCTCCGCTTTGGTTCAGACAGAGATGGGGACTCTCAGTACTTCTGGAAATTAGGTGGAGCGGCTCTCAGCACATGCAGGCAGTTTAAACAATGGTGCTTTTCTCAGATCTGTATCTCTATTTACTTACTTATAAAATGAAGATAACAGTAGTTTAGAGGGTTGGTGAGATGTCAGGCTCCAAAACTCTGGACTACAAAATGTAGCACTGTATGCAAAGAATTATTAAGATAACTAGCTGACCTTGGTTAACTCCTGAACATCTCTTTCAGGGTTACTCTGTGCATGCTTCTGTGTCATTCTTTCAAGCCAGTCATTTCAGTCATGTATATTATCTGCCTTTGTCCAAAATGTAATCATTTTTTAAATCTCATATCGTCTTATTTTTTAGTCCTGTTGGAATTGAAATTATTCCAATGAAAATAATGTTCAGATATGTTACTCTTTCTTCCTCCAAGAGGTTTATGCTTGCCATAAAGTTACTGGACTATGAATAATAATGTCCTTTGTAGCATTAAAAGTAAGCACGATTCTTTCTCTCTTATTGGCTCATTTTCAAGGAATCTTGCTGAGTCTGACAGTGTGAGTAGGACCTAAGCAGGTCCCTGCTGGATAACTGGTTAAATAAAGGTTAGGCTCCTGGTGAAATGGGAATGGGCATTCTCACTTAAGAGGTGAGCAGTAATATTCTTTGCCATAGTCCCAAGACCCTTCCACTTGTTAAGAAACTGTACTGGAACAGTCTGTGTATACTTTAATTCTTCACCTTTTCTAAGTGTTTTTCAAGCTACTACTCATATCCTGTTATTCTTCTTTTCTATTATCCACAAAATAACTAGGCAAATTATTAGTTAATAAAAGTGACAATGAGAAGAATGCTTCTGGTAATTCAGAATTCCCATGTTAAATATTTAACATAAAGGAAGTGAAAGTGTCTGCAAGGCTTATTCATAGTTAGACTATATTAAAAGGGGCTTATATGAAAGTGAACTTACATAGGCAGCTATGGTCTAATTCAGTCAGGTGTGAAATGTTTCCTGTAAAATCAATTGGTTTCAGTAAAATTAATAAATAATCCCATTTAACCCCAAGATGCTTTGCACTGTCAGTCTATAAAGGAGGTCATATCATTGGAATAGAAGATACAGTACATATTGATTGAGACACTAGAATTGTGGTAGTAAAATCATTCATTTAGAGTTACCCAACAAGCCAGTGTCAGGTCTGGGAAAGGAAATAAAATCTCCTCCTGCCCACTCACATAGCTTCAGATCAATGCTGCCCACACAGAAAGCCCTTCCAGTGCTTGGGGCCTTAGAGGGCAGGTGGTTCATGAAGGAGGTAAAGTTATGACAGATGCTGGGTACCACCATGTGTCAATGGAGAAGCTACAACTCTAGACCTATACAGATAACCTCCTTCTATAAAATTAGATGCTCAGTAGTGCCTAGCTGCTAATATTTCTAGAGACAGTTCCCGCCCAAAGAACGTATCTATATCACAAGGTTCTTACCTCTGATCAATTGGCTCATGTCCTGGCAGCTTGTGGGTAAGTATTCGAAAGCTGATGTTTTTAAAGATGACTTATGGATTCTTTCCACCATTAGTTAATAGTTACACTTCTAAATCATACATGTGCCTTTGCAAATTGTATGCAATAGCTTAGCATTGTCCTCTCCTCCCCAGTCTTACATATTGTACCCCTGGATTTTTAAATTACACGTACATATAAATGGGTATGCATACATGTATGTGTATGAGTATGTATATGTGTATATCGATGGGTATGTGTGGAAAGCTCACATAGTCCCCTTGATCCCACATCCAAAAGATTAGCAGTACTGTAATAATTGGCAGTGCATTTTTAATATCAGTGCTGTAGAAATTCCAAATTATAGTGCCCATATCTACAGAAAATGGATAAACATCTCTAGCGTTTCCAGTGTGTCAGTCCACAGAAGTTATTCACATCATGGAAAGCTACTACCAAGAAAAAAAATAGGGTTTTTTCTTTCCCAGGATAAATTTTCACTGTACATTTTTGCTAATTTACATGATTGCATCAACTTACCAGTACCTTTGCATTATAATCTTTGCCTTGATCCCTAAAGACAATAATTGATACGGGAGAAAAACATTAAGAAACTGGTGGTACTTCTCTTTTCTCCATTCTTCCTTCCCCCCTGCAAGTAATCAAATGTGACATGAATATGATGAAGTATATTGTCTAGAAAATGTTTTCCCAAGTCTTTGCTTCTCAGCCTTGTTGGCTTTCTCCATGGAAACAGTATGATTGCTAATCTAGAAAAACAGCAGATAGCCAGCATCAAAGAAAACAGATAGAATCTCAAACTATCCTAGGGTGATTGAAAATTTATCTTTATTTATTATCTGCTCTCATAAGAAACTAAACAATTTGAGTCCTTTTATTTATTTGTTTCTATCCAGTACCTGTTGCCATCACAGTGAGCTCTGTTCTCAATTTCTTTTGGAAAGCAAGACTCTGAAATTGCATGGGAAAGATTAAAGACAAGGGAAAAAGCACAGTTAATAACAAAAGTACAAATGAAAACAGCTTGAGTAATTCTTCTGTTAGGTCTCTGATACTCAGAATATAGAAGCAGGACCTAGATCAACTCCACTGCCCTCCCCTATAAGGTCTTGAAATCAGCTGATATTTGAAGTAAACAGGAAAAGAAGTCAAAACCTGCAATAGAGGTGAGCTGAATTAACACTGTGCAAAAAAAAAAGAAGCGAATGGCATCAGCGTGAAGTTACTGAATTTTTTCTTTTTAATAAACTGGAAAGCTGCTGTAATGTCCTCCTGTCTCCAGGTCAGAAGCATCCTATCTGTTGAAGGCATGTAAATTCGCTTTACTGTTTTTGCCTTGCAAAAGACCTGCATCTCCAACAACTTCTCTCAGGCAAAACCAGAGCTTTTGTCATTCAGTGGTAAAGAAAAACAAAAAAAATCTAGTTCAGTCTTTGAGGCAAAGAATCTTTTGATTCTGTTCATGCTGTGCGCTCTGGAGTTCAATGGGGCAAAGCTAAAATAATTAGGGAAAATAGGACTTACTGAAACACTGGGGTGGGTTTGGGGGGTGATTTTGCTGGTTCTTTTGCTTTACCACCTTGTGGGCTTTAGTTTTGGGATGTAGGTACCACAGAACGTAACTACTTGCTGCAGAAAGACCCTCTAGGATATGCTATTGCTAGTGCAATAGTCTTATCTTTTGAGAACAGCTTCTGGCTTACAGATTTTCAACACCCATTGAACAACCTTCACAATTTATGTGACTGAAGTCGAAAATGGTGCCAAGGTTCAGGTATAGTTATTTTTAACACATCAGGAGCACAAAAGTGAGTTGTGTTGGGAAGTGTGGGAGACAGCTTTGTTGAGGAGACTAGTTTTTAAGCAACTGCCTGTGAGTGACTGAGAATTGTTCTCGGTCTG